CATTACTCTCTCTCTCTCTCACACACACACACACACACACACACACACACTCTCTCTCTCTCTCTCTCCTTTCAAGGCTCCATAACAGCAAATAAGCTGTCAATCAGCTGTGAATAAATACAGACAGCCCTCTTCCCTGGTGTAGATGTCACTTCACTCCGCCAGATGTCATTAGAGTTGGACATCTTTGATATATGACCGGAGGGAGGGAGGTTTAACTGGAACTGAGAGCGAACGCTCTAGTTCTGTACTGCTGGTGCAAGGAAACTGCAGGCTCTGAATCAGCTGGCAGATACAGTTCACATACTACTGATGCACAAAGCCCGATCACATAGAAAAATGAATAAATAGTTGTGACTGCTGTCATCTCACAATACAAATGTAAGTTTCATAGGTTTATTCATTAACCCCTTGCCCTCAAAAATACAGTAGATCAGTCCATGGGCTAAATGTTCAGTGTGGCGATTGCGGTAGTAAGGATCACAATCCCAGCTATCATTAACGAAAGTTGTGCACCTGGCTTCCTGTGCACTATGTTGAGAATTTCTCTCACATAGCAATCCTGCTCCCAGTTCATTTGAATCAGAACACTTCACATTATTTCTTCATGTCTATTAAACTGTTCGAGGTGGGGAGAATGGCTGGAAGCACAAGCTGACCTCTCATTAAAAGTTCCTTCATCACTATTGCATTTTACAATGTTCTCTTTCAGAAATAAAATATGAAGAGGCACTGACAGAATATTTGAAATTTTCCTTGGGCATCAGAAAAGATGATGAGTAGAAGGATTTATGTTGGCTAAACCTCAAATTGCAATATCTATAGAACTGCTATTCAAATATTTCACCAAGGGAAGACCCTATACCCTCAATTACATGAACAGAGGCAATCTGTCTCTTCTGAGAACAAAATTAATGAATCTGTACAATTGAGACGATTAGTTCACTCCATAATTATCACAGCTTCAGTGATGTTTCAAATTAATGTGATGCAAGATGCAGAATTAATTTGATCCAGCTCAATGACCTAAATGCAGACAGCGCACAACTAAAAATAATGTAAATTTTAAATAATCTGTTTGCCTATCTACTTTAAAGAAGCATTAGAAGTAACTTCAGACAGGAAGTGATTACATACACTGACTTAAATATTAGAAGTATCATATCAAATTATTAAAACTTCTGAGATTTACAAAAATTTGCAACATGAAGGCAGAGTCTATTGTTAAAAAAAATGACACCCTTCCCACTGACCCACACTATTCATAAGTGGTAAACAAAATTCTGCCACAACAATTACCACTGCCTGACATTTAAGGTCCTGTTCCTGCAATTGATCTGCACTGACTGACCTCTGCACGTGGAGTTCTTCTGAAGTTAATGGGGCTCTGTATATGGCTCCAAGGGTCCAAACACATGGATTCAGATTAAAGAAAGCCCTAGGTTTTTCCTGATATGAAAAATGGTGAGACGTCTCTGACAATTACTGACTTTTAATTTCTGTGCTTACCTTTAAAATCAAACTGGTAGATGTTTTTCAAGGATTCATGAAGGAAGTAAAAGCTTCCTAGAGCCTGTAGAAAAACAAAAAATAAATAGTAATAAGTATAGTCTGCTTTTAGTTAAAAACAAAATTGTGATACAGCTTTTCTTACACTTTTTGCATTTGAAATTAAATATCAGTAATTAAAAATATTACATTTGACAAGTAAAACATTTTCAGTAAATCCGTGAAAAGAAATGAGTTCTTTCTTTATTTTTCTTTTAAGTTTAATAAGCAGCTATAATGAAGGCCATTAGCAGTTTACCGAGGGCTGGTCTAGACTACACAGTTAGGTCGACATACGACCGCTTATGTCCACCTAATTATGTCAGTGTCTACACTACAGCCTTGCTCCCACTGATGTAAGTGTCCTTCTACACAGACATAACTACTCCATCTCCCTGAGAGGTGTAAGGCTCATGTTGGTGTAGTTAGGGCAGTGGTGGGCAACCTGTGGCCCATCAGGGTAATGCGCTGGCAGGCCATGAGACAGTTTGTTTACATTGACCATCTGCAGGCACAGCCACCCACAGCTCCCAGTGGCCGTGGTTCACTGTTCCCAGCCAATGGGAGCTGTGGGAAGCTGGTGGCTCCACCCCCCCCGCCCCCGCTAGAAGCCCCGGCGGCTTCATACCTCGCTTCTAGCTGGGAGCCAGGGTGAGAAACTAGGGAGAAAAGCCCATGTGGCTGTGGACCCTGCTCCCAGCCAGGGAATGGGGAAGGGGGGGGGAGGACAGCCGCCCTGGAGACCGAGAGCCTGTGAGGCAGCCAGGCTCCCGGCAGGAGGCTGCCCATGGAGCTGAGAGATCAGTCTCTCAGCTCCCCACACTGCCCTTCTTAGATTGGTGGAAGTGCTCCTGGTGAGGACGTGCACGACCGGCCCAAGGAGGACATGCAGCACCACAGTAATTACAGCAGTGGCTATAAATCGACCTAATATAGGTTGATCTACATTTCTAGCACAGACATACCCTAAATTTGCTAAGGACACAAATAGTTAATATACTTTATAAACATCAAACAGACTTATAAAGTTGTTTTTTAATATCACTAAGTACATCACACATTTGGAAATAAACAAATTAAGAGCTCTCCTCTGGGTGGTGCTAAGCACCTTCATTTGCCACTGAAATAATCCCCATGTAGTCTGCCTCATTATTCCTCTGGCTTGCAGGCCCATCAATGACTGCATCCTTGCAAGAGTCTGCCGAACAGTTTCTGCCTCATATATAGGGCAAAACAAATGTTTCTGGAGGCAGTGTGGACTGCAGGAATGATACACAGTGGTGAGAGTCCTAAAACCTAATCCTAGATTAGCCATTTTCTCACTGGGTAGTGCAGAGCAAATCACATTTCCTCTTTGTATCAATTTCCTACTGTAGAATGGGAGTGTGACACACAGGCCCTTTGGTGCCAGATGGCAAAGGGTTCATTGTAACAGCAACTTGTAACACACCTAATAAACTCACTACACCTAGCACACCACTTTCATAGTATTTATCCATAAAGAATATTATGTGAGGTCTTAAATGAAAGCCAGCGTCACTAGTTATGAATATAGTTGAATATGTATATACTGATACTTTGTAGGAGTTACGTATATATGATGGAAATATGTTCTTATAGTTTGTATGAAGGTGTTAACAGAGGTGAAAACTGGTTTCCTGACAGACCAGAGATGTTTCTCCAGCTATCTGGTGAAATGTAAAGTGAGTATTATCTCATTAACAATCACCAGTCTGAGCAAAATGAAGATGAAGGATTGTGAGATTTAACAGGAAGAGAAGAACAGCAGGGGGAAAGAAGCATTATCTGGGGGGTGCATGTCAAAGGGTTACTGGGCAATAACTGGGGGACAAAGAAAAACGTTTGTTATTTTGCACCTCGTAGGAAAATGGACAGTGCATTTACATTAATGAAAACTGGATCACAACTTGACTGGAAGCATTGAAAAAGGTTTTGGGTGAAATAAGACTGCTCTAGACAGGAGGTTAGCCTGTTAAGTTTAGTCTCTAGAAAGTGTGTACTGATTTTGTTTTATATGTAACCCTCCTGTTTCCATGATCTTTACTCACTATCTCTTGAATCTTGATCTTTGGTAATAAACTGATAAATCTTTCACTATAAATATATCAGTGCTGTGGTATTGTACAACAAGCTAATCCTGAGTTGACTCATTCAAGCTAGTGAGTACACTGTTCCCTTGGGGACAACATATCTGGTATTACTGTGAGTGTTCAGGGGATGAGGGACTAAACACTACAGGGGAATGCTTCAAAGGGGCTCACTCAGGGACTGGGGTGCACCTCTTCTTAACCTTCAAGAGAAAATAAGGACTGGCATAGCGCAGAGGAGATTGTTTGGGTGGCTCACAGCCTGGAGGTGTCAGGAACTGGGCACCCAGTTAAGCACAAGCAAGTCTCGCTCTTGCTGGAGGCAGGGGGGGTAACAAGGTGACTCAGTCCTGGTCACCCCAAGAACTGTCAAGGGGTAATAATTATGTATCTCACAGGAGTGTTGTAAAGATTAGTTTGTGTTTGTACAGCTCTTTTCTATTAAATGTTTCAGTAATTGTATACAGGTGATTGCATGCTATTCCATGCTAATATTTACAGTAACATTGTCATTTGCATAAAGATCACACTTAATTTTATTATTTTTTAAAGTGTATATGTAGATTACTAAAACAGTAAAATGCAGTGCCAGTATGACAGGTATTTCTAGGGGCCATTAACTATATCAACTGTCTGAGAATATTACTAAGGATAATATCACCCATAACATAATTCAGCTTCCCATAAATCTTTGGTTGCCAGAGTGCTATAATTTGAGGAGCACTGAAAGCTAACTTTTCAGTTATCAGATCCTTTTGCTACTTACAAACTAGTAAAAGTTGTCCATCACACTCCAAAGAGCATTTTGCCATACACAAATAATGTCAGTCCCAGTGATCTTAGACTTTGTGTAACTGGAGCAAAACTTGGTCATCTTTTTAGAAGCAAGAAAGGTAAGCTGATCTGGCTCAGGCAAAATTCAACTAATCTGCTGCTGGAACTACCTTCAGAATTTTGTTTCAAAATAGAAAGTTTGATTAGGGAATGAAATCTGTTGGTTGTGAAAAGCTTCTCTTCATCAACATGCAGGAAGTCTCCTAGCTATTTAAAGAGACTGATGTATGAGGTTCCAGTAAAGGAAGGCTGAATAACTCAAGCAAACACTAGGGGAAGAAAGTTAATTCTCCAGATAGGTTTGCTTTGCCATACTCAAAATTCTGTGTTTCTAATCCTGGCCTAGTTTTATAATCTATCCTCTTTTATTAAGAGCTTTTTTTGTTTTTAATTACCATTACATACATATCATTGTGCCAAAAAATATTC